GAGGGGGGTGGATTAGGGGGACAGGGCGGGGACTCTCGGGCTAGGGGAACCCCTAGAGAGCATCAACCGCCTCAAGCCCCGCACGCAGCTCCTGCACCCCTTTCCCTTCTACCCGGGGAAAGGCCCGGAGAGAAGGCCCGAGGGGCCGGACCCCAAGAGAGGACCGGAGCCCCCTTCCACGGACATGGGCTCCTGCCCTCCACCCCCTCCAGCTCCTCCAGCTTGGCGACTTTCTGAGCTGTTCCTCAGAGTTCTAAGGGTTTCTGATGCTTTAGCCCCTCCCCCCGGGAATCCTCCCTTGCAGCAAAGACCCCCAGCTTCCCTCCTCAACAGAGGCCTGAATTCCACCGCGTCCCATGGCTTCTCCCCACTTTATCCCCCCGCACCCCATTTCCAGCACCGTCTTGCCCCCCAGTCCCGCAGACACGGGAGTGGAGGGGACCTGGCTCACCCCAACTCTAAAATAACCTGGACGCCTCCACCATGCAGGTACCTGAGGCCACCCTCCTGCCTGGGGGTTCCAGGCCCGCCCAGGGCCAGACCCAGTCAGTCTTGAAAGTCAGCCCCAGAGCAAGGAAACGTCTCGCCCCACCTGCCACACCACGTTACAATGGGCTCTGGGGATAGACTATCTTTTTTTCTTCCAGGACAGAATAAAAATACCAGCAATTTAGGAGATTTAATAGACGGCAGGGAATCAGGTCAGGACGCGGAGGTGCCTCTGCCCTCCCCTGACCTACTTCGTGCGATGGCGAGGAGCTGGGGCGCTGGAGGGTGGCAGAGGGCTGAGGGTACCTTGGCTTCTACGGGTCTGGGGCCTAGGGACTGGAGAATCGCGGAGAGTAAGGATGCGGACGCTGAGCGCCATTGAGAATTCCCCAGGAGGGTTATGGGTGAGGACAGAAGAAGGTACAGTGTGGACTGGAAGAGGCAGGTTCCAAAAAGAGGACCTGAGAAGGGAAACAAGAACTAAAGGCTCTCTAATCTCTCAGAATCCCAGTTCCTCCTTCCTTAGGACCCAGGGTCCCAGAGACGACCTTCTCCAGCCCTAAACCCTCTATCTCCTTACTACGGGACAAGGCAAGGCCTGTCTGTAAGTTCTTCTTGATGTCTAACTTAAATCCCAACTTGGCCGACTCGATAGACTGATAGGCCGCCGCTTCCAGCTGCGGCTTCTTGCTGCCCTCCAGTGGCCGCATCAGGAGCCGCAGTGCTCGTGTTTCGTGGTTTCCCTCGCAGTTCCGGGCCTGCCCAGGCGCTGCCCCCGACCCGCGGCTCGGGCCCGGAGGGTCGGTATCTCCTTGCCCCTACATTCCCGGAGGTCAAGGTGAGAGGTCCCGGGACGGAATTCCAGCTCCGGCCCCGGTGTCTTTGTACGTTCCCCCGTCCAGGGTGCCCCGCGGTCTGTTTAATAAGGTCTCTTAATTAGGGCTCAAGGTGAAACAGCAACTTGGAAATGTTAGAAGCAAATGACGTATAAGTGTTTTCAGTGTAAGCCTCTAGAATTTGAGCGTACATCAGAATCACCTGGAGGGCCTATTAAAACATTAGATTTCTGGGCTCCACCCCCAAGTTTGTAATTCACCAGATCTGGGGCTCGAGAGTCTGCATCTCTAATGCGTTCCCCGGTGATGCTGCTAGACCCGGGACCACACTTTGAGAACCACCGCTCTAGAATTCCCCAGTTCCTTACGCTCCTTCACCGCTCTACGTCTGCCCGACAGAGAGGTGGCGAAAAAAATGGTAACATAAAAGTGTGGGAGAAAGAAGAAACAGCTTTAAAGAAAATTGTTGCTCAAAATCAAGCAGCAATTAAAAATTAGAGCCATTTCCCCCTACCGACCAGCTGGCCTCCCCAAAAGGTAGCAGCACCCAGGGGGCACCCGGATTTGAACCGGGGACCTCTTGATCTGCAGTCAAATGCTCTACCACTGAGCTATACCCCCTCTGCCGGCAGCCTCGCGCGGTGGCCTCTTCGTACTACTGCGCGCAGGCGCCGTGGGGCACTCCCAACAGAAGTGGGAAAGTCGGACTTCAAAAGAGAAAACATGTAAACCCTGGATGACTCGCTTGGAAGCACGGGTTGTTTCCTGAAATTCTGAACTAACGAGTCCTATTGATGATGCAAATAAAATGTAATCTGGGGGTGTGGGGGATCTCCTTAGAGACCCCTCACTTTGGGGGCGTTCCTCTGGGTCGTGGTCCCACTCTCTTGCCCTCCTGGAGCCCCCTTACTGTTCTTCGACGTTGTTTTCTCCCTCCCACCCGCTCACGCGGCTTCTGCAGGTCCTCCTTCTCCAGGTGGCCCAGCCCAGCCCAGCCCCTAGAAACAGCTTCCTCCCCCGGGAGGAGCCGTCGGGGTCCCTGGCCAGGCTGACCTGCGTTGCTCCCGCCTCCACCCCACCATTCCAGGAGCGGGCCGTCTGTACCGTCCTCTAGTGCTCAGCCCGGAGCTTATTGCCCTCCCTCGTTTATTCCACCTGTGGACATATATACGCGTTTACCGATCGGCAGGGCCCGGGAATTCATCCTCACCCGCTGCAAAAGAGAGGGGTAGGACACGAGACTCCGTCCCCTCCCGTCTGCAAGGGAAGTCCTAAAAGGTGGACTGGGGGGGACTAACAAAATACGAAAATGTGTGGGCTAGAGAGGGGGCACCCGGATTTGAACCGGGGACCTCTTGATCTGCAGTCAAATGCTCTACCACTGAGCTATACCCCCACCTCCTAAGTTCATTTTCATTAGAATAAATTTCTGTGGAATAAAAGAGTGACATTCGTTTTCCTCTATAGTTTCGATCTGAGGATTGTACCAAGATAACCTAATAGAAAGAACACAAAACAGTGGGGATGGCTAGAATTCCTGAGTTCTTCCTCCGTAAAGTCACAGCTCAGCAAACGACAAGATTAAGGAATCCTGGGTGCTCTATATACTGTGCCCGACCCCCCCCCCCCCCCCCCCCCAGTATATCCACTTCCTGGCTTGGGAAGGGGAGAGACCCACTGTTCCCAGGACCATCCAAGGCCTTATAGGGTAATAGTACTGTTCCCAGTATATAGACAGACAGCCTGGGTCTCCATTCCGTCTCCAGCTCTGCCTAGATAGAACTCCTGGGCTTTTCCAACCCCCAGGGTCCCTCCTCCCCTTCTCCATGAGTCCGTATCAAACCACTCCCTCCGCTCCCCCAGGCCCAGGCAGAGCCGAGAGCTCCCAGTCCTGGATTGCCAGGTTCCGGTGCCC